AATATGGTGACTCATGAGCCATTTGTATGACAAAACACTGATTGATCATTATTGGTGCATGCTTTTCTTTTTGGTCTTAGGAAATGAGAAAAGGGGGATATGCTCAGAGGAAGCTCCAACTCCTCTCAGATATTACAGCAACTGTGAGGCCTGGTGTTCTAACTGCACTGATGGGTCCCAGTGGAGCCGGAAAAACTACTCTTCTTGATGTTCTTGCGGGAAGAAAAACTATAGGCTGTATAGAAGGGGAAATCAGAGTTAGTGGTTATCCTAAGGTTCAAGAAACATTTGCAAGGATATCAGGTTATTGTGAACAAACTGATATACATTCTCCACAAATCACAGTAAAAGAATCTTTGATTTTTTCTGCTTCGCTGCGTCTTCCTGCTTGTGTTGACTCAAAAATTAAAATTGTAAGACTCCAAAGACGTAAGAAATACTGATATTTTGCTATCAAAATTTGTGATAATTTGTCTTAAAACTGCTTTAATGGATTTTGCAGAAATTTGTGCAAGAAGTGATTGAGACCATTGAACTTGATGATGTCAAGGATGCTTTAGTTGGCATACCTGGTCTTAGTGGTCTATCAAGTGAGCAACGAAAACGACTTACAATAGCTGTGGAGCTTGTGGCTAATCCTTCGATAATATTCATGGATGAACCTACATCAAGTTTGGATGCAAGAGCTGCGGCCATTGTTATGCGTGCAGTGAAGAATGTAGTTGATACAGGTAGAACAATTGTTTGTACGATCCACCAACCAAGCATTGATATCTTTGAAGCATTTGATGAGGTGAAAATTCATTTTTGAGGCTTGAATAATTTGGATTATTATAGTTCTTGCTATAAAAAAAAGTTAAATAAAAGAGTTATCTTTCATATTCTTGTTATTCTCATTGCAGTTGATTTTTCTAAGAACTGGAGGGAGTTTAATCTATTGTGGACCATTAGGACAACATTCAAGTAGGGTTATAGAATATTTTGAGGTTAGTAGCCCATTTAGTAAGTATGGGATTCAAATTCCAGCATTTGTAATCTGTTCTTCTATATCTAGGCTATAGCCTCTTTTGTACCCAAAAAAATGTACTAAAGTGATAGCTTCATGAAGATAATATTTACTTTGAATTTTTCCTGACAGACTATACCTGGGTTGCCCAAGATCAAAGATAATTGTAATCCGGCGACATGGATGTTAGAGGTTACTTCAGCTTCGATAGAAGCTGAACTTGGAATTGATTTTGCCAAAATTTACAAGAATTCTGCCCTATATGAGTAAGTTGAATTAGAAAAGTTAGTAATTCTTGTGTTATACAAAGTTAATCAAGGAATCAAGAAGTTCCTATTTTGGATACATATTTATCTCCACTCAAGTAAGCTATTTTCCTTTTAATGTTTGTTTGCAAGTGTGCTTTTTTTTTTTTTTGATGGTAGGATCAACAAAGAGCTTGTGAGGCAGTTGAGTACTCCACCTCCAGGTTCAAGAGATCTACATTTTCCAACCCAATTTTCCCAAAACTTTTGGGGACAGTTCAAATATTGCCTATGGAAACTGCAATTATCTTATTGGAGAAGTCCTTCATATAACTTGATGCGTCTCTTGCATACTATTGTAGTATCTTTGACTTTAGGTATACTGTTTTGGAAGCAAGGAATGAAAATGTAAGTCCGGTCAAACTCGTGAAATTATCATTACTTTTATATATGGGCAATAATTTTGCAGATAATTAACTTCTATTTTCTTCTCCCCATTTTGAATCCTACAGACATAACCAGCAGAATTTATTCAACATTTTTGGTTCAATGTATGGTGCTGTGATCTTCCTTGGAACGAATAGCGGCTCTGCTGTTCAACCATTTGTGGCAACAGAAAGGATTGTTATGTATCGAGAAAGATTTGCAAGGATGTACTCTTCATGGGCTTATGCCCTGGCACAGGTACATTTTAATCAAAATTTCTTAAATTTAGTGTAGAATCAAATTCAGACATAATATACGAGGTGGGAACGAAAATGATTTTGATTTTGGGCACTGAAAATTTGCAGGTGGCAATTGAGGTTCCCTATCTATTTAGCCAAGCTGTTGTGTTTGTGATAATCACATATAGTATGATAGGGTACTATGGGTCAGCATATAAGGTGTTTTGGTATTTCTATGCCATATTCTCTACACTCCTATACTTCAACTTTTTAGGAATGCTGCTTGTGTCATTGACACCGGCTGTTGCCATTGCTGGAGCTCTAACCTCTGCTTGCTATCCAATGCTTAATCTTTTCTCTGGGTTTCTGATTCCTAAACCGGTAAGCTACAAGGGAATATTGAATATTTATTTTGTCCACAAAATCTTTATTCTTGCTGTTATTTGCATGTTGATAGCCCATGTGTAATGTTTGGAATTAATTTACTCTAGTAGAGACCAAAATCTTATACAAAGCATGATCAATTCAAACATAGAGTGTACAACTAAGTTTATTATTTTATATCTAAATTTATCCAAAATTAAATCTTGATCACTGAAATTAAAAATTCAACAATTTATTAACAAAATCTGATTGTATTTTAGTTAATTATGGTTTTTTTTTTTTTCGGTGCAGAAAATACCAAGGTGGTGGATCTGGTTGTATTATATGACACCTACATCTTGGACATTAAATTGCTTGCTCTCTTCACAATATGGAGATGTGAATGATAAAATTATGGTATTCACTGAAACCACAACAATGGCTTCTTTGCTAGAGGATTATTTTGGGTTTCGCCATGATCACCTAGCTATTTCTGCAGTTATTCTCTTTTTCTATCCCCTAATCTTTTCATCCCTTTTTGCATTTTTTATTACACGTTTAAACTTTGAGCGAAGGTAAATTCCTTCTCTCTTGAAGATGAAAATGTTCGCACAAATATAGCTGATCATAAGAAATATATCATGTAATATTTTTTATAAACATGCGGTACACATTATTCAATCATGATATATCATTTTCTATATCTATTTTCCTCTTGGACTTACTTTACTTGGTAGGGTGTGTTGAGCACTTGGACTAAAAACACAAATTAATTATTTATACATCTAATCAAGATTTATTACTTGAGATTGTTAAACAATTAATAGAGCAATAATCTATGGGTTATGATTAAATCAGGTTGTTCAAAAAGTAGTGTAGATATGGCATATCTTTAGGTTGTGTTTCGTAGAAAGAATGCAAAGAGGTAAATATGAAAAAATTGTTAATTCAACAATTAAAATTTATAATAAATTTTATATTTTATAATTTAACCATTAAAATTTTAAGTTTTTTATTCTTATCCATTTCTATTCTTCCTACAAAGTAAAGCCTTACCGATGTAACACCTCAACTGTTTGAATTAATATATCCAAGTTTACTTAATACTTTTTTCATATTTTAATTTATTTGATGAAAATTTGGCTTTATAATTAAGATTTTCTTTTAATGTGAGATTTTTCAATTTCATGCAATTGAGTTTTTATAATATTAAAATATGTCAAACTCTATTAGTAAATCATTTATTGATTAGAGATTTATTTATTTATATTTTATTAATAATAATAATAATAATAAATAATATATTAATAACACAAATATAAGTAAATATATATTTACGTGAGGCTCGGGATCATATTATTGACAAAATATAACTATATATTTTTATAAATTTAAAATTTGACATATATGAATTTTATATGAATAGAACATAAAATCCAACCATTAGATTAACAAAATAAAAATTATATAAAAAATATATAAAAAGGCCTAAGATTTAATTAATTGTAGACACGGACCCTCTCCACGTAAAAAAAAGCATGATGTGAATTATTTTTATTACTAGAATGTTATTCCTGCTTGGCATGGGGAATTTTTAAGTTTTATTAAAAAATAATTTAAATTTTTTTCTTTTTTAGTTTTTAATATATTTTTTGTTTTTAAAAGACATTTTCAAAAATACTTAAATTTTTTGATCTGATAATTTTTAAAGAATTTTTTTTTAAATTTTTTGTGAGATCTGTTAGTTGATTTTCATGCAAGTTATTTTTTCAATTGATTATTTTTAGTTGAAATTTTTTTGTCTTAATAAGTGATTGAAATTTAATATGTTGGTTAGTTTTAAGATTTTAAAGGTTGATTTTTTTTCTTTGATAATTAGATATAATTTTATGAATTTTTTTATTATTTAAGTGCCTTTTTTTTTTCTTTACAAAAGCAATTGAGGGTATTGTGATTGCGAACAATACATCATCCTCTCTATACTCAACTCCTATTATGATTTTTTTATTATATAATCAAATAATTTTTTTGAATTTTTTTATATTAAAAAATTTCACATATTAATTAAAGGGTTTCGCACACGTAATAACTATTAAAAATTTTGAAACAAATAAAAAAACAATAAAAATAACACATGGCAATCTATGAACTTGCCACATGTCAATATACTATCCTTTAAGGGTAGTTTTTATATATAAGACAAGCTTCTATTACAGACCTCTTCCTTAAATTTAACCCAACAAAAATCAAGGTACTATAATTAAATATATTTTTCATCACTCTAATAAATAAGATGAATATTTTGCCATCACAAAAATAGTATAAGTGTACTGTTGATGTATGAGCTATCATGTTTTCTTGGTTTCTCTTTATTAATCACCTTACTTGAAATTATTAGTTAGGAATTATCTATAATATTTATTATGTTAGTACTTTCCCTTAATATTTGATGTTTCAAAATAATAGATCTTTTTTTTGTGTTCAAATGATAGGTCTTATTATGTGTTGAGTTGCAAATACAACTATTTTTATATTGAATTATTTAATGTCAATCTTAATAAAAACTTTAAACCTTAATACATAATTTTATTTTACTTCTGCGATAAAGTGCGGGCTTTTATCTAATGTGCATATATATATATATGTTTGTTTTCTCATTGATTTAAAATATGTATCACAAGCTAACATTTGACATGTTATTTTAAAATTAAATAAAAAAGTTTGTCAACAATTTTTTTCTCACCAAGAAAATTAACTTTCTTTTTATTTTTTTTAAATTCAAAATTTTCTTTTTGTTAGGTTTAAAAATGATTATAACAAAAATTCATTTTCTATACATCATCAATGAAATTTTCAATTTACATAAGTGAGACTCAAAGTTTTTTTTTTTTTATTATGATATTAGTTAAATTTTTAAATTTTATTATATAGATAAGTATGTATACAGATTGTAATGGAATGTTTGAATAAAAATTGAAAAGAAAAAAAAAAGTCTTTGGATTCAATATAAAGAATAGAGATTAATACCACTAATTTGAATCTTCCATTATCATTCACATGTGTTGGAATCACCTATAAACTGTTAAAGTCATATTTATAAATAATGATTAAATTTGTATTAAAAAATAATAGAAAAAATATAATGAAAAAGAGCCTAAACTTTGAAAAAAGCATGCATTTCTTCTAAAACATATATAAGAATAGATATCATTTATTAATTCATGTGCAGATCATTAATTGCTTTTCGGGATTAGAATTTTTTGTTGAAAATATTTATTATTGAGTTTTTATTGATATATTTATAAACGTAGGCATAAAGTTTTCATAAATCCATTCATCCTACTTATTTCCTCTCTTTTCGAACATTTTTAGGTTTCTTACATGATACAATCTTTATATCATAAATTATAATATATATTTTGGAAGTTAGTAAATAAAAAAATTGTCAAATCAAGTTAAATTGAATAAGTGCATCTATTAATTTTGAATATCGAATCCCATAATTATTTTCAAATCTAAATGTAAAAACTTTTTTTTTTTTTTTTCAAATTGATTTTTTTATGATTTTATTTTTATTTACAGGCATTAATCGTCTATCAAATGTTACAAAAATAAAAATTTTTAGTTTAATAACTACAAAATGCTACATCCTATTTGGTACATGTATGTTTTTTTAAAACAAAATGCATGATTCTATCTATTTTTACATAAATTAATTATATAATACTATTTGATATAATTAAATTTTAATCATTTGTTCATTTTAAATCAATTATAATTTTTATTTATTTATTTTTATTTTATAATAATTATTCAAAAAGTAAAAATAAATAATAAATACACTAATAAAAGGGGAAAACTTAATTTACCAGTCACGGACTTTAAAAAAATAAATAAAAGCAATGTGCATTTATCTATGTTACCGTCGACAAAAATAAATTTAACAGAATTCGGCCAAGTCTGAAAACTTTCAATTTTGGCCTAAGGAAACTGAGACAGGAATGGTGGGGGAGTAAACAAAAGATAAAACTATCAAATGAAAAAAAAAAAAAAAAAAAAACAGCTGGCATCTCCAGATCCCTAAGTGATTCTTTTTATATAGGGTATATAGATTATTATTATTATTATTATAATAGGTTAAAAATATAACTAAACCAAGACATTACTTGTTATATAAAGATTAAACAACCTAACCCAAATTAAACCAACCGGTTGGAGATTCCCCAATCCCGCATTCTCTTCTTTTTTTCCCCTTCCTTTCCTAACCAGAAATTTTTTTTTAATTATTACTTCTAGGTTGCTCATGATCTTTAGTTCTTGGAATATTCAATGTTCATTAAACCCTTCCGATCATTTTACCTGTTAACTACTCTCAAAATAGGATATGTAGAAAAATCTATGAACAAAAGAAAAGGTGAAGTGGAGGATAAATGACTTGTGCGTGACAAAATCTCTCCATACTAGAATTGTTGCTCAGCTATATATATAAGATATGAATGGCCGGCCAAAAGGTTAATCCATTGGTCTTGCTATGGAGCAAATTACATTAGCCACTGCCCAATGTTTTATCTTCTTGACCTTCACAATTATAAGCTCAGGCAGTCCGACCTTCCAAGCAATACCTTTCACATCTAGCAAGCTGGTCATTAAGCTTGTCCACCGTGATTCAATTCACTCCCCATATTACAATAAGAAAGACAATGTCACAATCCGCATAAAACGTGCTATGGAAAGTTCAATCCTGCGATTTACTTACTTGCAGAAAAAGGTTAGAAGAACTTGGCCCGAAGATGATTTCCAAGCTGATGTTCTTCCTAGTGCAGATGGTTGTGTGTTTTATACGAACATATCAATAGGCCAACCACCTGTTCCTCAATTCACTCTTATGGACACTGGAAGCAGCCTTCTATGGATTCGATGCCTTCCATGCAGACGATGTTCCACACAATTTGGTCCAATATTTGATCCTGAAAAGTCCTCCACATATGCTTACCTCTTGTGCAATTCTCAGTACTGTCACTATGCTCCTCATGGCAGGTGCAACTTGCTCGACGAATGTGAATACAACCAGACATATATTCAAGGCACTCCATCAGTAGGAATCCTTTCCAAAGAGCAATTCATATTTAAAACATCAGATGAAGGCTCAGCTCCCATCCCAGATGTGATATTTGGGTGCAGTCACGAGAATGGAAACTTCAAAGATCACCAAATAAGTGGAGTAATTGGACTTGGCTTCAAAAAGTTATCACTAATAGCTCAATTAGGTTCGAAGTTTTCTTACTGTATTGGCAATGTTTTTGATCCAAACTATATTCATAATAAATTGATTCTAGGCGATGGAGCCATGTTCGAAGGTGACTCAACACCTTTAGAAGTGATCGATGGCAGATATTATATAACTCTTGAAGGGATTAGTGTAGGTGAGAAAAGGCTGATTATAGATTCTAACATATTCAAAAGGAAAACGTGGAAGAAGAGTGGAGTGATTATTGACTCTGGTTCAAGTACCACTTGGCTGGTGCAAGAAGGGTTTGAAGCACTTCGCAATGAAGTTCAAAGTCTACTGGATACATGGATGACACGGTTTTGGTATAATTCATGGACGTTGTGCTACATGGGAACAATAAGTCAAGACCTTATCGGATTTCCAGCTGTGACATTTCACTTCGCTAGAGGAGCCGATTTGGTGCTAGATACAGAGAGCTTGTTTGTTCAGCTGCACCCTTATGCATTTTGCATGGCTGTGCTTCCAAGCTATGCTAGTGGTGACAATATAACCAATTTTTCTTTGATTGGAATGTTAGCTCAACAAAACTATAACATCGCCTATGACATTTATGGAAAGACAATGTCCTTCCAGAGGATTGATTGTGAGCTCCTCGACGATTAATAGTTTGTAATTATTGCAGGATCATGTAATACCCTGATGAAGTGCAATTTTTTCCCTCCCCTATTGTTCACAGTCTTTCTTCAGAACCTTTCAAAGAAAAAGAAGAAAAAGGGTATTAATGTTCTTAATTTTTTTGCAGTCTATTTTGTGTGTGTGTTCAAAACAGAGGACTCTTAGGACCCAAGCAAATAGCCAAACAACAATATCACAAAGGGGTATCAAACAGAATCAAATTTACAAGGTATGCAGATGGGAAGTGACCGGAGGCAAATCCACACTTTAAAGTAGGGGTGTTCATAGATATCTAAAAATTAGAAATTAAAAAAAAAAAAATTCTCCGGATATCTTGAAAGAATATCTTTTTTATTAACAAAATTAATAAATTTGTCTATATACATATATATATATATATATATATATATATTATAAGCAGATAACTTCCAAAAAAAATTTTTGATCCGTCATTAGAGGCGACCCAATGCGTGCGGCATTGTGCAATCTTGATTTGACAGCAATCAAGTTAGCAACCTCATAGGCCTTTTTTGAAACATGATGAAAGGAGATCTGTTAGATAAAACTCTAGTGATGCTATGTCAATTGGTAATAGAGGAGATCAATTAGTGGGCCTGACTTGAATAGAAATCAAAATATAAACTTGAGTCATATTCATTTACGAATCATGAGATCGTATGAAAAACTATTGACCTGGAGATTCGTTTTGCTCCTTGAGGGCATTAAAAATTTATTGAATCTGGCTTCAGATTTTATAAGAACACACATGTTGGTTAAAGCAGAGAACCTCAAAACATTGAAACAACGGAAGCCCTTCCCATCCTGTAATCTCACCTCTTACTGTAAAAGTTGGCATATAATACCCTCCACATGCTAATCAAACAAGCAAAACCTTAGGCTAAGAGTATTGCTATGACTAGCTAGAGCATATTCTCGTTTTTCTGAAAAAAAATCAACATGAATTTGTAAGCTGCATACAGAATTGGTGTTTCTGATTTTGCTGACATGGCATACGGTAATACTTTTTGCTGCAAGAGTCCCAGTGGCAGTAGGCTGCAATCAAGAACTTATGTTTCCAAAGCATCAATTAGACCAGTCTCATCCTTCATTTTCCTAAGTGACTACACTGGTTCTGTAACTAATTGCAAGAAAAACCACATAAATGAATCAAGAATAAGGGGACATTTGGAAGTTAGATAAAGCTTCTCAGTTTCCCTTTTCATTAGGAATAGATTTACATGTTCCCTTTAACAACTACAACATGCTTTCCTCAAACTTATACCAATTGTGGTCTAACTTCTAAAATTCGAAAGCAACCTCAGAAATTTTCAAGTGAACTACTTTCAGCCAGGAGCTTTGTTTGTTCATTTTAGGGTTAAACTCATCTATTCCTTGTCTTGACAAACTTTGGCCTTGAAGCCTTTTTCTCCATCTTTTCCCTTTTCTTGCGAGTCTTTTCATCCTCCACCTCTCCCTAAATCACACACAATCATACCAAAAATTATGTTGAGTATAAGAATTCACTATTGCCTTAAACGTGGTAAAAAGAATATAAAGGTGCGGAAATACCTCTGAGCCTTGCGATAGAAACCCTTTAATGAACCCAAAAGATTTGTATGCTCCAAATGCTGGTATCTGAAATGCAACAAGTAGCTCCGTAATGTTTTGCCCTTATCTTATTTGTTCTACCTAGGTGAGTTACAAAAGATTCCACCACGGAATTAATAATTTGTCAGCAAATGCATAGTAGCATAGAACTTTCCATTGGGAATGTTTGTTCTTAAAGACTCATATCATCTTAAGAGCCTAAAACACAATTCCTTTCCATTGGAATCCTAGACAAACCTGGCAAATGACAAAAAGATATTCACTTGCCAATAGCACATCAAATCAAGAACTTTTCGCCAAAAACAGAAACAACTAAATAGCCAACCTAGAGATACACATCAATATTCTAGGAGAAACTGTCAACAGAAAAATAATTTCTCATGAGAAGCTCACATGAAACATGATCCCTCCACCAATAAGCCAAAGCCTTCCGGTCTAGAGGTACCATAGAAAGATCTCCACACAAGTATGTCTTCCGAACATAATTTAACAATTAGATGAGCTACCCTTTGATGGACAAATCTGACAGAAGATAGACAACTAGATTAAAAGCTAAGATTTATTCACCTTAGAGATCCCTAAATAACATTGCCAATCCACCATGCTGCCACCAAAGTCATTTACTTGTTGACTATTTAAGCACCCAAGGAACATGGGATGATATTAAGCAGAAGAAGTGGAGCCACCTTACCAAAATTACAATCTCCTAGTAAATGAAATTAGCAAATTTTCTTCTGCAAATTTCACTCCTTCACATTTTTTCCCTAAGATATTTTGACAATTTTCACTCTTCACGTTCCCTAAAGCACATAAGCATTAGGTGAACTCCCTCCAGAAACTATAAAATGCTCTTCCATTCCAAAAGCAGATCAAAGGATGGAAGTATTAGATTGGAGCTTTCTATGAGCAATCTAATAGAACTTACCACAAGATATGCATACCAAAACTTGTCTGAGATGATGGACGTCAGTTGCACGAAACTTGTAATGTAGATTACATCATGTAAATAGCTGCAAACAATGAGAAACTGTAAGTCGGAAATATTTAGTACATGCAGAAGAAAAAATACAGATTGGAAGACAGTAGATTGAATCAGTTCATAAAGTCAATAAAACTTAGATATGAACAAATAATTAAACCATCCAATTAATAAGTAAATGAACTTATTGGCAGATAAGGTCTAATTTCCCAGTTTTAAAACATACACAGCATGATTCTCTACAAAAGGCTTCTCCTCATCTCCTCCTCTCTTCTTATTCCTAAGTGTTTGAATCAAGTAGGATAATTTTCTACTTTTCTGAGCAGTTACATCCAAACACAATCACCATGACTAACATTAGCATAGAATTGGATTCTATTCATAAGCAACAAAAAATATCTCACTCTTTCCCACAATAAACATACGGTCTTATTATATTATGACTCATATATATATATATATATATATATGTACATATCTATATACATATATGTATACACACGCGCGTGCGCGCACACACACACACACACACATCATAACTAATCATAGTTGCCTAAATACAAGAAAAAGATCCACATTAAAAGGAGAAAAGTAAAACATCTCCAATAAATACTGAAATAAATCAGTAAAGAAACAGGCAAAAGAATAAGGACAACCTAAATTTATGATCTAAGAACTACATTTCTTGCATTCCGCCCTGCCACTTTTGGAAAAACCAAAACTGCAGCTCCACTGATGCAGAAGTAGTAAAAAATAAAGAGAAAATAGAGAGAACAAAGAGAAACAATAAGACAAGAATAATTGGGAAATCTCAAATTTATATTCAAATTCTCATAGAAAAAAAAAATAAAACACTAACAAGTCAACAATAACATAGATATATGAGCTCTCAAAGCCTAATATAGAGCCCATACAAATAAAGCCAAAGCAAACTAATAGTGATGTTCTGCCTAAGGTAGCAAAGCCTAGAGGCAGTGTTCCTCCATTACATGCATTGCCTCATTTACAAAGAATTAGAAAAAGTAATCAGAATGGTCCTTCTAACCAAGCTCCTCCTATCAATAATTAAGAAAAAATAAAAATAAAACCACACATTGAAATTAAGGTGAAAATAGAGAAAACATTGAACAAGACATACCCACATATTCCACCAGTACTCATATCAAATCCACCATCAAGAAGCTCTCCATCATCAGCATAAGCAGGTTTTGCCATCTGGGCAAGTTGTTGATACGGGATAAAGTAAGCCACAGATGTCAAAACAAGTCCGACCCAATGTTTCCAAGTAAACGAGGAATGGAACGTCAGCATCCTAACCAAGACAAATATAACCTAGATAAACAGCAAATTAGAACATAAACCCAATAAAATAAGATAGTAAACAAGTAAAGAATGCATCTATGAAGACAAGAAAAATAGATAGTACTTAAAACGCAACAACTACCCCTCCCCCTTTTAATCCACATCAACAAAAAAGTAACAAAAACAGCAAGACTATTAATGTAGTTGTATGTCAAACAATAGCTAACTAAGACAAGGTTTCACAGGCTAAAAATGACAATACATAATTTTCAACTAAAAGGGGCAATATATACTTCGTAGTGCATTTTTGTTGCTACATATTAATAAAGAAAAATAAATTGATGTTAGAAACTACCAAGATAAACACTAAGAATAGGTTCCAACTTCCGATGGTTATGACTGACAAGATCACCACTGTTTACTAACCAAGCTTGCACCTAATTGCCTATGCCTGTGCAATTACCGTCAGCATGTTAACGTGACTAGCCACAACTTTAAAAGTTAATAATTTTCGCTTTTACAGGTATAAAATATGCATACACAATAAACACGTATACAGAGAGACCTGCAGCCGGACTATTATCGGATTGATTTAACGGCGAGCTAAAGGTGCATTAAAAATGTCTACAGAAATCAGAAAATTCAGTTCAATTCAATTCCAAATAATTAAACCCCCTTTCCTGATTGTACATCATAAACATAATGTTATCACTAAGAGCATAAACATACTTACAAAAGGCATTCATTCATAAACATAATTTAATCAGAATCTAACACTTTCAATCAATTGCAAAATAACCAAGTAATTACTCATTATTTAATTAAAGTAGGATTTCAAGAATGAGGGGAAACAATAATAGGACGATGAGAATATACATTGCAGGCAATGATGAGGCGACGGAGGTTGGCCATATGGCGAGTATTCTCTTCCTTGCGCTTCTTGGCACCTTGATTTGCCATATCTCTCTCTCCTCTGGGGTAGTGGTAAACGAGTTTGACTCTGTGGAACCCTAACGAAAGTCGGCTTTATTGAAGAGCCGAAGTGGAGAGGAGAGGAAAGTGATGAAGCTTTAAGAACAGTAACTTCCACTAGATTCCTTTTTCGCAAAAGCCCATACCAATGGGATTGCCTAGGCCCAACGCAAGAATCTGGCAACAGATTCGTTCATTATTCGAATTATAAATATTTTATTGAAGAAATAATTCAAAATTTTGGGTTCTCAAAATTGGAAAGTAGAGAAAATATGGTTGAGAAATAAAAATTATTACTAATATTTTCACCTTCATTGCTTATAAAATGAGCTTACAAAATGATTTTTATCTTTTATATGTCTTTATTGCTTTTTTTTTTTTTTTGAAAGAGAGCATTTATTGCCTTTAACTATTTATTTGATGTATAACTGTAATTACTCATATAAAATTTTTTTTATTTATTTTATTACCTTTTTTTTTAATGAAAGTATGCCATGATCTTAAATTTTATTTAGTTGATTTTCTATTATTTTAAGATTTATTAATTTGGATTTCTTTATTTTAAGATCTATTTTGTTTTTATCTTATGCTTTCATCAAATGATAAAAAAATAAGAGTAATCTTTTATTTTAATTTATCTTTTAAGGAGTGAATAAAAATTCAAATTTATAGTTTTGTATAATTTAGGTTGAGTTTTAGTAAAAACTTCAAAGTTGAGTCTTTTTTTTTTTCAACTTTTACATATCTTTTGGTATTCAAAGCATCTTTGAACTATTTAGTTCTTTGGGATTGCGCTTTAGACAAAAAGCTTTTTTTCTTCAAAAATTTGATCAAAATATATGTTCGTAACAATTAAAGATTTATTCTTGAATTAATAAACATATAGAGTTCGTATTGAATCCACATAAATTTTCAAGGATACGGTATCATCGTCGTAAGAGTGAAATCCTTGAATTTTTTTAGTTCCTTAAAATTGTGCTTTGAACAAATGAGCCTTCTCTGTAAACTTGATCAAAATACTCTCTTTGAAACAATAAAAGATGGTCAAATTATAATAATTGTTGTGATACTTTAATAAAATTTAAAATTTAGTTCATTTATATAATTTATAGAAACATAGTTCTTTTACTGTTTTGATTTAATAATTTTAATCTAATGACTAACCTTAACAATATCAAATTTTTGTTGTTAAAATATTGATGTAGCGATTAACTTAATAAAGTAATTATTGATTTTATTGATGTGATAACATGGATGAAAAAATCAATTATCAAATTATACAAATAATCTATGTACTCACAAAAAGTTTAAATTTTAATTAATCTAATATAATTTCTAAAAATTTCGTTCTTGTATAAGTTAAAATTAATAATTTTGATCAAACTACAAGTATCATTATTTACTCTTCATTAATTTTATTGACATACGAAACAGTTGTCTCTTTAGAAAAACATTTAAAAATTAAGAAATATTAAAAAATTCAAAAAGAATAAAAAACTAAAAATGATAAAAAATTTTAAAATTTATTTTTAGGCTTTTTTTCAGATTTTTAAAAACATTAAAATAATTTTTTCCAATATTTTAATTTTTTAAAAATAATATTTCTTGAATTTTAAAAAAAGTTTTTATTTTAAATAAACTTCAAATTTATGAATTATTTAGAATTATCTTCATTTAAAAAAATTTTAAAATTTTTTGTTTTCCAATATTTTATTTTTTTCAAAAAAAATATTATTACTTTTATTTTAAAAAATTTATATTTCAGTTTTTTTAAAAATAACTTTCAAATATTTTGAATTTATCAATATTTTTAAATAATAAATTTAATTTTCCAATATTTTAATTTTAAAACGTTAATTTTAACATTTTAAAAATGTAAAAATTTAATAAAAAGTTTAAATTTTATTAAAAAGCTTAAAAAATATATTTTTTTAAAAATAACATATTGTTAAATATTTAAAAAATTCTAAAATTTGAAACTTATATTTTTAGAAAATGAAATATGATTTTTCATTAAATTGAAGAAATAAATATTTTTTAAAACATTAAAATAATTTTTTCCAATATTTTAATTTTTTAAAAATAATATTTCTTGAATTAAAAAAAATTTAAATAAACTTCAAATTTATGAATTATTTAGAGTTATCTTCATTTAAAAAATTTTAAAAATTTTTTGTTTTCCAATATTTTATTTTTTCAAAAAAATATTATTACTTTTATTTTAAAAAATTTATATTTCAGCTTTTTAAAAAATAATTTTCAAAATTTTTGAATTTATCAATATTTTTAAATATTAAATTTAAAATTTCCAATATTTTAATTTTAAAATGTTAAATTTAATATTTTAAAAATCTAAAAATTTAATAAAAAGTTTAAATTTTATTTAAAAGATTAAAAAATATTATTTTTAAAAAATAACATATTGTTAAATATTTAAAAAATTCTAAAATTTGAAAATTATATGTTTAGAAAATGAAATATGATTTTTCATTAAATTGAAGAAATATTATTTTTAAAAAAATCAAAATATTGAAAAAGATAAAATTAATAATTTTCAAATTAGAAAAAAATTATAAATAATTCAAATTGTGAATTTTTCAAAAAAATTGAAATCCGTTTGTGAAAAAAAAAATATGATTTTTTTAAAATTAAAATATTTGAAAAAAAATTTAATTTTATGTTTTTAAAATTTTTGAAGAAGTAAAAACAATTAGATTTCTTTCCTTTTTTTGTTTATCATTTTTAAATTTTATATTTTTTCAAAATTTTTTTTAATTTTCAGATATTTTTCTAAAAAGATGGACAATTACGTCAATAAAATTAACAGAGAATAATTAATGACATTAGTAATTCAATTAAAATTATCAAATTTAACTTGTACAAGAAGGAAAATTTTATAAATTATACTAGAGGGACTAAAATTCAAATTTTGTATGAGTATGGGAACTATTTGCACAATTTAACAACTAATTTCATTCATCTATGTTATTGTATTAGCAAAGTCAATATCACATCAGCAAAGTCAATGCCATGTCATTAAATCAACGATTACATTAACATTTTTAACAACAAAAATTTGATTGAGTTAATGATTAGACAAAAATTATTAAATCACAATAGTATGGTGGCTATATTTCTATGAATTATAATAAAATAATTAAATTGCACATTTTATTAAAGTATAAGGACCATTATCATAATGTATTATTTCCAAACGGGAAAATGCTTCCAGCATTAACTCAATAATATAGGCATTGGTCCCAGAGTGTACAAATCCCAGCACCATAAAATACTACAGGCTAATATCGTGTTTTGCTATAGTCTGTAAGTGCACTACAAGGATCTTGGCGAACCGACTGAAGAAGCTACTTCCTCACATCGTAAGTGCAAGTCAAAGTGCTTTCATTGAAGGCAGGAGCATTACAGACAATATGCTCATGGCATAGGAGATTATAAGGGGATATGGTAGGACTACACTCTCATCTCGCTGTGCTATTAAAATTGATTTGCAGAAGGCATTTAACACAGTGGATTGGAAGTTTATAATTGATATATTGGAGGTCATTGGATTGCCTTTTAATTTATTGGGTGGATCAAGTGCTGCATCACCACCTTAATGTTTTCAATATCTTTAAATGGACGTTTAGTTGGTTACTTTCAGGGACCAAGGGGTGTAAAACAAGAACATCCACTATCTCCTTATTTGTTTGCAATTGCAATGAATGTGTTGTCAAGGTTGTTAGATGTTGCTGCAAAATATAAAGTGTTTGATTATCACCCTAAGTGCAAGAAGATTGGGTTAACACATTTGTGTTTTGTGGATGATCTACTGATTTTTGCTAAAGGTAACAAAGACTCTATTTTGAGGATAAAAAAGGTACTGCAAGTCTTTTATTCATACTTTGGATTGCAACTCAACTGTGAGAAAAGAGAACAGTTTACATCAGGGAGTAGAAGAGAGGAGATGCAAGGAATACAACAAGCCACCGGGTTCAAGAGAGGCCTACTACTAGTAAGGTACTTGGGAGTGCCATTGGTTACTAGGAGACTTACCGAAAAGGATTGTGCTCCATTGCTGGAAAAGATCACGACAAAAATAAGCGGATGTACTGCCAAATAATTATCCTATATTGGAAAGCTACAACTGATTCAATCTATTTTATTTAGCATGCAGAATTACTGGTGTAGACATTTTATGCTACCAAAATGTGTTATTAAAAAGATCAATCAGCTGCGTTCAAGCTTCTTCTGGAAAGGAAAAGAGGGCAATGCAAAAGGAGCTAAGGTCAATTGGGAAGCAATGTGCTATCCTAAATCTGGAGGAAGGTGAGGATTGAATCTTCTCTATGGCTTGGAACAGGGTTTGTTTATTGAAGAATATATGGTCTATACTGATAAAAGCTAGTTCAATATTGAGGCATACGTGCTGAAAGGTAGAAGTATTTGGCAGGTTTCACCACAGTAAAAGTGTAGCTGGAGTTGGAGAAAACTGCTTCAACTAAGGCACACAGCACAACAATTTTTGAGGCAGGGGTATGGTCTATTCCTAGAAACTGCTATTCAACTAAGGTAGTGTGGAATGAGATCAGGCCAAAGTAAGGGATCGTGGAATGGCATAAGTCGATATGGTTCCAGCATCATATACCAAAGCACTCATTGATTGCATGGATGGCAATCCTAAACAGACTCCCAACCAATGATAGACTAAGAGCATAGTGAATGGAGGTGGATAAGCAATGCTGTTTATGTAGGAATGGCAATGAATCCAGGGATCATTTGTATTTTGAATGCGAGTTCACAAAAGCAATATGGCAAAAAGTGTTACAATAGGGTAGAATGGTATGAAGGATAGATGAATGAGCTGCAGATCTTAGGTAGGCAGAAAGCAAGATGAAAGGGAAATCATTCATCTTAATCATTTTGCGAATTGCTTGGAGGGCTTGTATATATGAGGCATGAAGAGAAAAGAACCACAGGTTGAAGAGACAACTGAATAGGTGTTTGCTGGAGTACGGGAAGCTGGCAAGAATCAATTAGAAAGCCTACACTCGGTTGCTGTGGACTTAGTGAATAAGGATTTGTATGCTACTTGGAATATTAACACCAATATATTGATTGCTATATAAATAGTGAATGTTAGTATGTACTAGTTGTAGTTGCATTGTAGTTCGATTATAACAGACTTCTGCTTTTCTTTGGATAAGTAAAGCACAGCATATCAAAAAAAAAAAAGGACCATTATCATAATTTAACCATTAAAGATTCATTTTTAAATTAAGAAATTTATATTGAATCAGTGTTGAATTTCAAGAATACAGTGTTATCATCAAAGGATTTTGAACCACTTCAATTACAAGACTAGTAAATTTTTCCAGAAGAAAAAAGTATTCATGTGTGTATGTGTGTTGAACTTTTTAAACGCACATGTTTGAAAAGTTCTATATCATATGCAATATGGGAGAAAATGGAAGAAAATTCTACTATTTCCTCGAAAGATATTGAAGGTTTAGAAGTGAAAAAAACCTTCAAGTGGCATGACTTCGTGGATTGGCTTCGTCGTATGATGGGGTTCAAGAAAAAGAAAAAATTCAGAGTGCAAAATTTCAAGAAAATGTTTCTTTCCCCCGATTTAAGGGAAGAAATTGTTATAAACAACTAGGCTATGACTAAATTAGTTATTATCTTAAACTTTGTTTAGATGATTTTGTATTATTTTCAGATTTATTATTTTTGATATGATTATATTATATTGTATTTATCCTATTCTTTAATAAAAGGATAGGAGTTTTTTTTTTTTTTTTTTAATCTTTTAGGAAGTGGGTTTATAAGTATAGACTTATAACATGATGTTATCCTTTCTCTTTTTTTTGGCAAGTGACTAATTAAGAACTTAAAAATAATATTATAAAAAATTAGTATCTAATATATTGTCGAAATAAAATTTTAATTACAGAAGCAAAGTTAGTTATGTGATATATGTTTTATTTTTTAATTAATTTTTTTATTTTTTAATATATATATCACCAAATTAATTTTATCAATGTAATTAAAATTTTATACTGATAATATATCAAATATTAATTTTATTATGAATTTAAAAAAATTGATTTTTTTCCTATTTGATTTACCTAAAAATATTTTGTTAGAAAAGGCATCCCTATTATTTTAAATGATGCTCTCCATCGTAATTATCATTTTAAAAAATATACTATAATTATGTTTAATTAATCATAACTTAAAAAATTATCCAATTCAAATTAAACAAAAGTGAATTAATGAAGCCTAATGACAAAAGAAGCCTTAAAACATTAAAACTTGGATTCAAATCAATTTTTTTTTCATGTAATAAAATATTATCCTCTTTTGAAAAAATAATTAATCAATTATGATTTAAGATTTCAGAGTGTACATATTACTTATTTATATGCTATTCCACAGAAAAAATGCCAAATACGCAACTGATTTTCTTTCGGGCAAAAGACAACTCCACGACAAAAAGATACCTACTTTTTCACTTTTTTTTTAAGGGATACTTTTACTTTTTTTTTTCAAGGGATACTTTTTGTGACTAACAAATTATCATGAATGACTCTTGTCAATTGTTTGTAAATCATACATAATGACAAAATTTTGAATTACAGAACAACCAAAAACTTAATCATTTATCTATAAAATTAATTTTACTAATGTACGGATCCTCCCATACTGTGTCACGTGTGGCCTTCTGGTTCCTTCTTTTTTTTTTTTTTTTTGCTTTTTAGTTTTTTTTTTTTTTTTTACGTTTTTAAATTTTTTTTTTGGCTTTTTTGCTTTCAACAACACATTTATGGGCTGCCCTCCTTTCTTATCATGTCACGTGTCGGTGATATAATTGACTTTTTCTTTGGGTTTTTTGTTTTTTTTTTTCAATTAATAAATTTTTAAAAAATAAAAAAAATGTGTTTATAAAGATTGTATTTTTAAATGTAAGACCTATTATACCAAACTTTTATTTCTTTTTTTTTTTACTTTTTTCGATTTTTTATTTTTAAAATAAAAAATAATTAAGGTTTTTTTTATTCTTTTTTAACATGCTTGAATGATATGCAATTTATAATTCCATTCTTGTGATTATTGCATGTCATTTTCTAAGCTTTACTTTTTTTTTTCTTTATTTATCTTTAAAATTATTTATAAATACTTTTAAAAATTATAAAATTATATATATTTTAGATTGTTTTAGACCTGTTTATATTAAATTGTTTTATCATAATTATGAAAATACCTTTTATATTATATTCAACAAAAATTACTCTAATACCTTTTAACTATAATTACAAAAAAATTACATTTTTTATTACTTCGTACTAAATTACACATTCAATGCCCATGTGGTCTAATTTGGGTTGTCCACACTCATCGACTACACCTATCACATCATCAATGCAACATTAGTCTCTACTTTTGTTGAGAGGTGGCAACGGTAGATGAATATATTTCATATGTTGTTTGGTGAGACAACTATCATGCTGGACGATGTGTCCACCTTTTTTCACATACCAATCAAAGGGACCCTAGTTACAATGCCTCATTTGTTAACGAAACACGAGGCAAACACATTATTGTCAAGGTTGTTTGAAGTTTCTTATGATGATGCTAGATAAGAGACAGACTTGAGTAAGGGATTTATCGTTCGACTAGCTTGGCTACATAAGGCCTTTAAGCATACCACTAATGCATCAAATGATGAGGCATTGAATGTGTATCCCATGCTTTTCTACTATATTTAGTAGGAAATACATTATTTTATGACGAGACCGTGATGAGAGTCTTACTAGTGTACTTACCCTTATTTGAAGACCTCATTGGCACTCAGAGGTATGCTTGGGGGATGGCTGGCCTCACTTACTTGTATAGGTAGGTTGGGGTTGTAAGCAGGGCAAACGTGCATTAGATTGCCCGATATTTGACACTTGTCCATGTATATATTATAATTATTTAAAACATATTATAATGATTTGATTTTTTTATTGGCTTTAGGGTTTGATTATGTAACTAAAAAATACTTATCTATTTTGTATAGGCATGGATTTATGAGCACTTGCCATTTTTAGGCCTAGTTGTCGATTTGAAATACTTAAATGCTTTACCTCATGTTCGACAATAAAAGGCTCATACGTATATTGATACATTGCTCGCTTTACATGAGAGCTTGGTTAGGTTGAAGTATCAAATGTATGCTGCGCCTTATATGCCGATACACGACAATCTCATCCATTGGATAATATTACATTTTTCGCTGGATGTATCAAGTGCGAGGTAATTATAGAGATATATCACCTGGAGAGGGTTATCTGCCAACTTACTTTGTGCAAACTATTCCATAGAGACCGTTGGCCCCATTTTGTGCTCGATGAGAACCATCGTTCAACCAATACGATGTTATATATAACTTCCTGGACCAATACTAGAGACGATGAGATATGTATGTTATGTTGGTTGAGTATCGAGGTTGAAGATGTTAGAGGCCTAGAGAGTGTTCATCATACAATAATGCCTATTTCATAGTAATTTCATACCCTCAAATTCAAAATCCACAGCATCAATTAAGGTCCCAGCATAAGCCAATTCATAGTACATATATGAGTAATGTAGTAAGTTATAAATTTTATCATTTAAAGGGTTTTTTAATTAGTTAATTTAAATTATATGATATCAATACTAATAACATTATTAATATTTATGTAGCAAAATTTGACGACTTTATCTTATGTTAATCATATCTTGGCTGTCGGATCTGGTTAGAGCAATGACTATTGGACAGATGCCTTTATCCAAATATGAGCCATATTAGATGGGTTTAATCATACTGTTATAGGCAACCGTAGTTAGTCTAGACCAACATTGATTTCTACATCATCAATTCATGCATTCAAACCACTTAGACCATCGAGGTTGCTTGTGCTTATTCTATCCATAGTCCTATCAACAATGGCACATTTGAAGACGATGATAAAAGCCACTTTTAGCCCACTCATACATGGTCCATTAGCACCTCATGTCCCTCTACCAATAGTATTGGCCACATCATCATCCTTGCTAGGTTTTCCCCCTCCTACTAAAATGATGGCAAAGCCCACTCCTATATCATAAGCATATCAATGAGGCAAGAGGCCCAATGAGAGGGATTGATGATTAGATTCTAACTACTGATTTATGATGATACTAATTTGATGCCGATACTGATTTTATTTTGACATACTAATTTTATATGTTTATGTTTATGTTTATGTTTACTTTATATTTATAAAATATTCATTATTATCTGTTCAATGGCAATTGGATAGCATGTTCAAAG